TTTTTTTTTCACAATAGCCCTGAAAGGTGAGAACTATTTTCATCCCCATTGGAGGAGATAAACATATAGTCACCCTGAAGCTCAGTTTACCTCATCTATATATTGGGTGTAATAATTGTCTCTTAGGTTGGGCTTCCTAGAGGCAGAGCCTGAAATGGGGATTCCTATTTGTTTTATTGTGGTAAAATATACACAATGTAAGATTTGCCCTTTTAGCCATTTTTAAGTGCACAATTTAGTGTCATTAAGCACATTCACCCTGTCATGCAGCCGTCACCACCATCCATCTCCAGAACTGTTTCATCTTTCCCAATTGAAACTCCATATCCATTAAAACTAAGTCCCAAGTCCCCCCGCCCCCAGCCCCTGGCAACCACCATTCTACTTTCTGTCTTTATGAATCTGACTGCTCTAGGGATCTCACAGAAGCAAAATCATACAGTATTTGTCCATTTGTGTCTGGCTTGTTCTCTTAGCATTATATTGTAAAAAGAAAATCGAAATCTTAGGGCCAATCTCCCACCTCCTTATGCAAAAGAGAAGATGAAGAAAGCCTCAGTATCTGTGAAGCATCATTCATTAAGGAAATTCCTGGCTGACTTCCCATAAACAAGGACATACAAATTTAATTATGTCGAGGAGCCTAACTCAGCCCCAAACAAATCCTTTCCCCTCCTCCTCCTCTCTTCCTAAGACAAAGACACAAAAGACCTAATTAGCCAAGTTCATCACCAAAGCCCTCCAGACAAGCTATGGAATTTGCCCACCCCCTATGGCCCCATAGAAAAGGGGTCTCCAACTGCTCTTAGACACGGATGCCAACTTTGCACTGCCCAGGTGGGTCACTGTCCTTTTCAATAAGCCTGGCCTGAACATCTCTGCTCTGGTCTCCTCTCTGGGCACTGCCACTTACCCCTTTCAATGTCTAGGACCGAAAACTAAAGCCTGTGCCATTCCATTCCACACTGTAATGATTACAGGTTTATGTTTATAGGTAACAAAACTGGGGACACTTACAATGCAACATTCTTCTACTTACCCAGGGACATCTACCTAACTGATGCTCCCTTTATTTCCTTTTCCCCTTCTAACCTTCCCTTTATTTTTGTGTAAAACGTAGATTTCCTGGGCCTCATAAGAAGGTCACTGCTTAGCCTTAGCAGACCCCTGCCTCCTTGTTCCTTCTCTCCAAATGCTTCGAAACAACAGCCACAACTTGTCTGCAGTTCAGGTGTGTCCTCAGTTTCGGCTGAATAAACCTCCACTGATTGAGATTGGTTAAGCTTAGGAGTTCGAGACCAGCCTGAGCAAGAGCGAGACTTCCATCTCTACTAAAAATAAAAAACGGAGGTAAGAGGATCACTTGAGCCTAAAAGTTTGAGGTTGCTGTGAGCTCTGATGCCCTAGCACTCTACCCAAGGGGACAAAGTGAAATTCTGTCTCAAAAAATAAATAAATAAAAGGAAATATTTACTACCTATTCTCCCTTGAGGACTATTAACTGTGAGCCTTTAACTGTATAACAAGATCC